ATCCACTTATAAGCTTCCTTCAGCTGAACAATGTCATCCTTTGCCAAGGAAAGGCCCAGTTTTCTGAATCACATACATAAAGAAATAATAACTTGCACAGGAGTCTCTCAAAGACGGATACATGACACGATATTCCAACGCAAATTTCAGTAACCAGTCCCAGGCAAACAAGCAAAGCACAAATAAAAAGGACAAAGCTACTAAGCGTACAGACCATGGCACAAAAGAATGAAAGGCTGTTCTATGATCTCCTGTGATTGAAGTGAATGTTTGCATTGAATTAATAAACTAAATGTTGACAAAACAATAAGGCCAGACAATGATTCCAGGTAAGATGCTTCCCAATAAACACTTAAGAGTTTGGCTACGAGTAGCTAAGGATGTAGTTTTACAATCAGCTCAAGCAAATATAAGACTATGTTGCCTCTTTCCTGCCTCTGGCCATGCATTTCCTGCCAGCACTCGCATGCTAACGCTAAAGAGCATGGTAAATCATATCAGTCCACTGATCCCATTTAAAATGAACCCTAACCCACCAAAAAAAAGTTAATTTTTCAGACAGATCAGTTAGATGATTAGCTCTCTTGGTGGTCACATAAGCAACTGTGTTAACACAAGAAAGACAGAAAGTACATGCAGATGGAGGCATGATCCTTCCGACAGAAAACCAACAGCTAGTGCAGCTTAAGTAAACCGGGAATCTACATCCTGGAGAGCAGCACCTGTCCTATTTGCTGAGATGCCTTCTCTCTGGATTCCAATCAAAATAATACCTTGTTTTGCCCTTGTTTTGCCCAGTGTTTCTTTCATTAATAATTTAAAAATAGATTCTCTTTCTGCTGTATGTGAAAACAAGTGCTGAGGAAACTCATGCAGCCATAGCTCCATGATAGATCCAAAGCTGTAAAAGCCTTCCCAAAGTCCACTGAGAGGACAGCTTAGAAAGAGATGTGCATGTAGATCTTTTGTCAAAAAAATCTTCTGTTTGAATGTTGTTGTTAAAAGGACCATCTAGTTCTTCATTAAAGGAGGCACAAATTCCAATTGGTGCAAATTCCTAACGGGAAAAGCCCATACGACAATCTCAGTTGATCCTGCTGGGATAGGCCCAAACGACTCTCTAGATACAAGACCAGACTTTGACTCCTGTGTCTTTGCCTTTGGAGAGAGAAATGAAAAAGAGCAGATGCCTGTGAAGATGCCACTAAATGATTTCAATCCACTTGCGACTCATCATCTCTTACTCTGCCTTTCTATAAAAAAACTCAGCATAGCACTTCCAGCGAGGACGGCTTCCACCAAAAATTAATCCAGTATCCTCAACTAACTTCGAGCCAAACAGATTTCTTCCATCTTGCCCACAGAGACAATTATCCATTCATCACAGCTCTATACATTTTCATTTGGCCAGGAACGGGCGCGTCCTAGAGTAGACAAAGGATCGGGCCCTTAAACGGATATCAAAACACTGAGGTATAAACAAAGGGTCAAAACTAACTTGCGGCCATTGCACTAATTATCTTTCTGACTACATCATGTTCGTAATCTCAGAGCTACCGTCCCTGTATTGAATGCTCTGCTGTTTTAAAAATAATTCTAGAAAATGGAAGCTGGAGAAAGCACAATAGCAAGGTTATGCTTGATTACTATAATCCTTGTCAAAATCAAGAATTTAATTCAAAGTTGCAATGCACTGCAACTATTTATTGTAACCATCTTATGCAGCCTGTAGCCCAGTTGCTCACAGCTAAATCAAGAGCTTCTAATATTATAAAACTTAACAATGTAAGAGCTAGGTTTATTCGAACGCAAGTAAGTGGTGATGTTGAATTACCCAGAATAACCATTCTCTTTCAGATCAAAAAGAAAAATTCTACGCTGATGCAAAGCACATGAAAAGTTGCATACTAAGATGAATCGATAATTACTGCAGAAGTGCAAGCTCTTTCAAACAAAGTGCATGCTACCTCCCAAATACCTGGAAAAATACCTGGAAGGGAATGATTCATGTATTCCCTAAAGCATATGAAACCATTCTGCTGGCTGACCGTTTTACAGCCTTTCCCCCAGGGAAGCAATAACAAAGGCATTACCCTGTGACATTAGTTCCGATAGCTGGTATTAATTAAATGACTTGCTAGCTCTAGTCTAATTACAATTAATGACACATATTATTAGCATTTTATTGGTACAATGGTCAGTCGTCTTAGAAAAGCCAGCAACCGAATGACAGAGAGCCAAAGGTACACCTTCAAAACATCAGAGAGAATTTTTTCTATCAGAGGCTAAGACGTAGGAATGAAAGAAACTTTCTTTCCCTTTACTTTCTGAGGCACTTTTTCTTTCTAAGCTACAACTTCTTAGGAATAAACTTATAAAGCACAGTCTTAAGAACGAAAGGACAGTTCATGCGACCCCTGTTCAAGTCTCAGCTTCTAACTTATCTGCAACAGAAACCTATTTTACACATAAACCTGCTTGTCAAGGACATTAACTATGGACTTTTCACCATTATCTGACTAACAGTTTTCATTCACTATTAAGGTAGGCCAAATCTGATACGGTGACAAAGGAAAGGTTCGTATTTCATGATGTCTTCTGTGCACAAGATGAATCTGGCTCACTGATGTCATCATGGCACCTCTCAGGAGCATTAAGGTAGCTCTAAGCCGTACAACTGAACGGAGAGCCCACACTCCACATTCAAATGCTGTCCCCTAGCTATTTCACAGTACAAGGCAAATGAGATAGGAAACCCCAAGTTAAGGCCAAACCAGGATACATCAAACCCCAGCCGCCATTTTATCCTTTGTAAGCACCAAGTAAAGCGGACAATAGTATTACAACAAAATTATAAAATCAGCTACTACTCTGCTCAATATCTATGCAGATAAATGGTGAAGAGGGCTTGTCAGAGAGACATAAAAGCTATGGACAATAACAAGCAAAAGAAATAAAATGACAGCACATTCCAATTCTGAATTTCCTGATGATTAGCTTCAAAGGGACAAAACAAGTAACAATCTTGGTCAAGGACAGAGGAAAGGAGTCTACATATTCCACAACTGTTAGCAGAAGCACCTTTATATGAAAGTATAAATTTTTTTCAGCATAGCAGTAACGAGAAAATGCTTATTGCAGGGGACCTGCTGAGACATGTCCGTTAGGAGAAATTTATGACCAAGCAATTAATACCATATTTTCAAGATCAAGACCAATTATAGTAAGAACATCTCTCCTTTCTCTAAATCTGGAGGATTCTGTAGTAGAAGCAGTACAAAGGTTGCCAAAATAAATTACTCACCCCATTTCCTGTTTTACCAGCAGCCAAGCAGCACGCTATAGGTCACCAGCCATGCCCAGGAAGAAGAGAGAACAAAAATGCAAGTGAAATTTTCGCTCAAATATACTCCAACTGTTTCAGAGACTGTTAGCAGAAGAGACAACTAACGTTTACAAAGCTCAGGAAAAAACTCAAGAATTAGGATTTTTATTTAGCATTTGCTTTAGAAGTGTGCAGGATAGAACCGGGGTTTGCTCTTTCCTCTATAGACTAACCAAGCAAGCCTACCTAAAGAAGGTTCTTTCTTTTCCCCCAAAAGTGCTTAAAGATTCTTTTGCTCTGTGAGCGTGGGCCAGTCCCTACTTTATTTTCCATTCTCCCGTCTCTTGCCTGACAGAAACAAAGGTAAGGCTTTTTGGGGAACAGAAAATTAAATCAATTACCCATTGCATCAGCTGGAAGTCTTAGTATAATTGTAAAACAAAAAGCTGACTTTATGGCAGAGAGAGTACACTTCTCCGAGTGAAATACTTTCTCCCAGTAACAGTAACTCAGATCAAATCCTAGGACAATATGACACACAAAAAACTCTAGATGTCAAAACGCTGATAGGCAGAGGAAAAGACTTCAGAACAAAATTTTTTTTTTTCTCCTACACTAACCTAAGTTTTCTGGTTTCTTAAATACTTTGCTATTTTTCTCCTTCACTGCTCACTAGATTTTAAATTGTTAGGCAACAGAGTCCTTCCAAAGCTAGTCTGTTATATCGTTTTCTATGTCCTATCTAAACCTTTTGCAAAAACTCTCACTTTTACACACTCCTCCCTCCACTTCTCTCATCATTCATATCTGAAATTTCACCCTGCCTTTTTGAAACAACAAGGCTATATAGCGTATGATGTAAAAAAAAAATGCAGACCTCCCCCCTTTTAAGGCAACTGCTCTAGTTGAGAAATATTGAAAAATAATTGGAGATAAACAAGCAAAACTAAAAGGTGCTTTGACTCCAGTGTACTTGCACTTGCACACATTGAAAGTTTAAGTCCTGAACACAGGACTGCTGCTTTCTGCAGACCTTCTGTGAATACCACCTTCTGCAGCTCCAGATGCGCTCCTTTGTATAGAGCTTCCAAGAAGTAGTATTTGGCTGAAGTGAACGATCATAGGATAATTCAGCTGGATGGAAGCTCAGGAGGTCTCTATCCAACCTCCTGCTCAAACCATGGTCAGCTATAAGATCAGATGAGGTTGCTCAGGACTTTATCCAGACAGGTCTTGAAAACCCCCAATAACGGATACTCCAAAAATGCACAGCCTCTCTGGACAACCTGCTCCAAAGCTTGACTGTCCTCGATCCAAGCACTGTAAATATTTCCTCAACCTCTACTCACCTTGTCTGGAAGCTTTATGTATGTAAAGCAACATAATGTAGCAGGCCCCTTTGATGCGACACTGATGAGGAAAGAAGACCCTAAGTCATCCCTTTGGTGTCCCAGCTACGAAATGGAACACAGCAATATGAGAACTAACATTGATTGTAACAGAAGTCAAAAGTAGAAATAAATTACCAGTGGTGTGAAGGTGTAACGGAATAATACAAAAGTAAGCACAAGGGACTATCAGCCCCTTGTAATCAATGTAATCCTACATGACTTAACATGAAAAAGGATCAGAAATTGAAGACTTCCAAGGAACAACGGTGTCTATGCCAAAAACTTCCAACAGCATGTCTTTCACAAGCTTTGCTCTGGGCAACTAAACATTTTTAGAGGTGCATCCCTTCGCAGTCTCACTCACTCCTCTTTGTACTGACACACTGATCCTACAGAATGATCCATTATTTCACTGTAGTAATTGTTTAATGCTTTAGGCTTTCAATTTTGTCTCTGCACGCTCTAAGAGTGAATCCCATTCTCCGCACAATGAAAACATACTTTACAAGTCTGAAGTGCACTACAGTTAACCATAATTTGAATTTTGACCTCAGTGGGTCTTTGCCTTTAATTACAAGACAATATAGTAGTCCAGGGAAAAAAAAGAACTTTTATGAACACTAATTTATATGCCTATATTTCTGGCAAGAGTGATGTTGGACACAGATAGTCAGAAGACCTGCACAATGTTTCCATTTCAACAAAATGCCTATCAGCGCAAAAGCAATTAAGAAGAAGAGAGAAACTCCCCTTAAAACTTCCTATAACTAAGCAAGAACAACAACACTCTCTGTTCTTTCTTCCTTCCTCTAATAACACCAACCCCCCTTCAAAAAAAAAAAACCAACACACATTAAGACTGGTAAGAAGCCACTTAAGTAATGGCATCTGTATTGTCAATACATAGTCTTCAGGTCTAGTCTCACTGCCCTCACAGAAGCTCAATTCCAAACCACAGTTGCTTGGCTTGCTTACATACCTACAATGAGAAATCAAAGCAGTTTTCAACCTGCGGACAGCAGACTACTAGTAAGACGTTAGAGAAAAGCAACTCCATAAACTCGTCATGCAATCATCCACACACTTGCAGCGTCCAAAAGAGTTCATATCTCAAAAGTAGCAAACGTCACTGATCTATATTCTTCAGCAGTTTAAATCCTTTCCCTGTCTTTCAGTCTTCATATATGGTGCTTTAAGAAACAAACAAACCAACCAAAACACCCAGGTCAAAATAACTACTCTCTATTGTCAAGCAAATAATTCTAATGAAGAGGCTTGAAAACGTGTATCAAACATAAAGGAGCACCATCAGCATCACATCATCAGAAATCAGAAGTAACCATGTCGCAGATCACCTTTACACACTGATAGAGGAACTCGTTTAAAAATGTCTATTATCCTTCTTTTGGTCCACCTAAAAGAACGAAGGATCTTAAAAGCAGCAATACTAAGGAGAGAGAGGGATGGCGGCGAGAGAACACAAACTTCTCAGGTACATGAGACACAAATCAGCACACTATTGAACAGAATAAATGTAGCTGTATTGACAGAATACTGTTTACTCAAATTCAGTGTGATTCATTACACTATATACGCAGCACATGTGAGCAAGACTGCTTCACAAAGCACCATGAAGTACATTGCAATCTTGTTTACATAATAACCGAGACAAAATCATAAACAAAAATAGCTTCCAATCAAAATTCCTTGAGCACGCATCTTAACTACAGAATACAACAACCACAGAACGAGGTCTAGAAATCTTCATTTCACAAATGCCGATTAAAGCAGTCTCATATTCCTTGATTTAAAGCACTTGCAGGTTTGGTACTCAGTCAGCTTTCACCTGTAGTATGAGGGGCACAATTACAAACTAGAGAAAACTTCTGCCTGTACCTGTGTGCCAAAATGAGACCGTGTATCAAATTTCAACTCCTTTCCCCTGACTTCAAAAGTGAAAGAGAATTAAAGAAATTACTTTTCCCCTTCAATTAAAAGGAAAGAATAGATTAAGGTACTGTGAGCACAGAAGCCAAAAGATCCCAAATTCCAAACCGTATTCAACCAAGTCCCCTGCCTTGCTCTCTCCCAGTTGTATGAAAAGCAGGGGATCAGATCCCTCTACTTCATAATTACTTTATGTTTATGAAGTGGTTTGAAAACGAAAAATGCTCATTACAGAACTCAAGCCTGTAGGGCAATGCTTAACAGCAAATATATTTCTGAAATACACTCGCTCAGGCACTATATCGATTACAAGCTGCAGGATATTATTCTAATGCTTTCCGAGGGATCACAGTGGCAACAGTTGAAATACCATGTGCAATCCCAGCCACTGCATTTTTTCACTGTATTAGAAAAGCGCTTGAGATGGGGAATTCCATGATGAGGTATACACAGTCCTATAGGGAGTAATGACTACAGATGCTATTTGCATCAATGTCCTTGTAGCAAGTACCAGGATGATGGATCACAACTGAGACTACAGACATAGCTAACAGTCACCTTTTTGAAGGGCATGACTCACTTCATATTCTAACGTATTTGTCTGACATAAACATGGGACTCTTGTATTTATGATTTATTTTAATCAGATTTCCTACTTGTAGAGAGAGGTAATAGTTCTTTGCATTACAAATACTATGTAAATGTAAATTTTACGTCCCACTCCTCTTCAGCCCCTGCCCTACATTTTAGGCTTGGTGGGATGACAACCGTCATCATTAAATTAATTGAGGGTAACATTAAAAGATAATTTCTGAATATTTTTAAAGGAAGTCAGAGAAAATCTGTGTGTCGTACAAAAGGTCAATAGAAGGGAGGCTGTCTTTGGGGTGTCCTTTTATGATAAAATGACATGTGTTCTTCTACCATGCAGTTCAAAAGAATTAAAAGAAAAACTTAACCAAAAATCATCTTTTCAACCACAAAGCATCTTGGGATATGATCTTATTGTATTACTTGCTGCTTTTCTGTAACTGTAAAACAGGAACTTTTCCCAACAATTATTTTTGGAAGTGATAAATGGATAGATGGTAAATAAAATCCCACGATTTTGAAGAGGTTCTTTCTCACCTCCCCGCATTTTCACCTCTTAAAATAGAGCACAGCTACACAAACAGCTGGTTTGGCATTTGGCAAGACGGAAGGGGTAGAACAGAGGGATGGCAGGAACCTCCTAACGCAGCCCTGCTCCCAGCTGAACTGAAACTCAGGACAGCAGATCTAGTTTTGGAGGTTCTTACTCAGTCATCCCACCCCACCTATTAATTCCCGGACCCAAACCTGAGCTTTTTATTCCCTTGGTTGTACCACATCCTGAAGTACTGTTTGCTTGCCTGAACACAACGGCAAGAAACCTTCAAGGGAGTGGATGTAAAGGTACTGTAAAGGTAAAAGTGCTGATAAAAATAAGAGCAACATCTCACCCCTTTTAGCAAACATAATTTACTGTACTTAGAAGACCAATCTATTATAAATCAACAGTTTTTACCAACTATCTTTGCCAAGTGAGTTTTCCCATTTCACAGTTCCAGTGCATCAGGTACCAGGCAACATGCAACAATTCAATCTGCAAGAGGAACTCTTTGAGGCAGACTATTATCCTTGGCCTCTGTTTGCAGCCAAGACTGCCTCAAAAGCAGGCAGAAACGCTTACTCTGCTTGCTCACACTAGCGTGAGAACATGACCGAGCTAGAACTGCAATGCAATACCACCCTCTACTGAGGCATTATGGCAAAGACACACTGGGAGGGTGTGAAAGAACAGTAGCACCAAATTCTTCTTTCCTCTTCCATAATTATATAGCCAGGCTATGAATAAAAAATAGGTTATTTTTAAGCTAGATAAACTGTAGCTGTTAGGTAAAAGGTAGAGGAAGGAAATGTAAGAACTTGATGGCATGGGAATTGCAGTTGGGATTCGCACATCACTCTTTTTCACTTCTTGAGGCTACAACAATGAACAGAGGAAGAAAGGTCCCAGCAATGCTTAGTCAAAGTACACTGGAAGCTGAAAAGTCTTAATCTATTGTACCCTGAAAATAATAAGGCTGTTCTTTTTTTAAACACCCAGGTTTGCATTTCAGCAGTTAACTATGGGCATAAAGTTGGGGTAATTTTGACCTATGTTTAGAGAAGTTCTATCATGGGCATGCATGCATGCCTCTATATACTCAGCTAACCTGAAAGTGCTTTTTTGACAACTCTCATATTTTGCATGGTTATAAAATCAAATGGGAGTAAGAAGAGTTAATCCAGCCAGAAAGCACAAAGCAATTTGTTCTGGTGTTATTTTGCTACACATAATGGCAGCTGAAGCGAACACAGTTAAGTATGCTTAATTTTGGACGGAAAGTTAAGAGTCTTATGTTCAAGCACGCTTAGACTAGAATATACGCTAGCACAATGCAGTTACTGCACTGATATTTGCCCGAGATACCAGAACACTGCTATTCAAGTCTAAAAGTGTAGTAGGTAGTAGGTTATTTAACAATCAAACTGTGCAGGATGAGAACAGACCTCACTTCAGATTCATACATAAGTCCAAAAAGACCTACTAATTTTCATTCTGCCACATTCACTGAAGCTTCTATTACATCTTACCACAGGAGGCATCTATCTTGAAGATTTACAGGCTGCCCTTTACAACAGTATTTTTGCATCATTTGTTGTGACGCAAGGAAGTAGGTAAACATTGTAAAACTCCTCAAAACTCAGCAAAAACTGTTGCTTTATTGATCATACTACACTATGCTTAGTATACTTCTTCAGTTTTCCAAAAAAGTATCAGTTATATACCTGTCCACGCTATTGCTATCTACTATAATTAAATGACTGAAACATAAACAATTTAAGTTTGATTAAAGTTGCCATCAAAATTAGTAGATTTACAACTGCACTCATTTACATTTTCAACAACGCCCAAGACAGGTGACTATTAAAAATACATATTTTTACATCATTTTAAATGCTGCAGAGTTTAAGAGTTCATCTTCAAATTCCTTCATTTGCATTATGCACTACTAATTATCATTTATTTCAGGAAAGGCACCAGCTGTGGAGCTCCTTCTCCAAAAATAATGACAAAGCAGAGCTGGCACCTGTACCAAAGTGAGCAATACGCCAAAGGTTTAAAGAAACTCCTTTCAGTTTTTCAGAGGTACGATAACTCCTGGGCTAACTGAAATCTGAAGTGACTCAGATACTTTATTAATTAAAATAACATTCAGCAAAAAGGAAGAGAACAGACTTCACTTTTAGCATGTGTTTTCTTTTAAAACAACAGCAATTAAAATCAAACCACCTCCAGCTTGCATGTTCCTGAGTAACTTTCTTTACTTGGCTTTAAGTAACATAAAAAAGTATCTGGAAACACTTACCTCTCTAACAGATAGCTGTGGGGGTAGGGAAACAGAAAATACAAAACTAGTAAACTGGTAGTCAGCAGAATTAACCTTTTGGCACACCTGCAAGAGAAGGATTTTAACATTAAAGTACAGCAATGAAATTCAGTTGATAATCTAGTGTAATCACTGCGAATCCATACTAATAACTTTCAGATAGATGCCAAATATGCAAAATAGAGTAATCACTAACAATTTATTGAAACATAAGCTTTGTTTTGTTTTTTTAAGAGTATACTAATAAATGGTATCCTTATTGCTACGGCATTAGGAAACAATCTAACTCAGTATTTTAAAGCTAAAACCAATTGCATGCATAAATTTTCGTACAAGGAATTATACCACAATGATCAAAGGCTAAAACAGTTGACTCGGCATGTTTTTCTTCATGGCACTGATACAATTCTACAATAATAAAAATGGGTAATGTCCTGGGATAATAGAGGAACAAACAGGTATCCACAGTATTAATTCCATCACTCTTCAAAGTAACAGTATAGAACGGAATATTTCATCTTTCAGTTTACGAAAGAATGCCTATGTTTTCTCAGGATTAGTACGCAACTACTACATACACAAGCCGGAATATAGCCCAGACTTCTAATGTGCTTTGATATAAAAATCAAATTTGTCACTGGAAATAAAGCAAGAACCTAAACACTCCTGAAACACTTTGAAGTAGGCTACTAAGAGCTAATGGTTAGCTGTCTCACTGAAAATAAGCTTAAACACACACGGAGAAAATGGCAAAAATGTCAATGATTTTAGTGAATACTAAAAAAGCCTGATTCTGAGCTTTCAAGGTGAAATCAACATCTCAGATAAGGAAATTTCCTTATAAGAGAATCAGTTTTTGTGGTGCCTTAACAAACGCTGTCAGATTTTCCATCGCTACTCAAAAGTGTGAATCTGAAACAACAAGTCTTAAAAATGGGATCTACAAAAATATATATGCTCTGCCAATGGAAACAGAAAAGAAACTTCTAAAACTTCTTCTAAACTGCAAAAAAATGCACTCAACAGAAACTATATCCTATGCTTTCTCTTTAGTTGCACTTTAGATATATTCATGCCATTAAACCAAATACTTTCAAATTTGGTTTTCGCTTATTTGGTAAACACTTAAACACCCCAACTGCAAGTGGGATTTTCCAGCTGATATTTCAGCTTGTTACATAAGCAATTTTATTCCTCAGAGATGATGTCTGCAATAGTCATTATGCCCATATTCTCCCCTGACTCATACTTCCTCCAGTATCTACAATCTGTTATGTCATTGAAACTTTTTGTTCTTCTGTGGCTTTTTAAATATTAGTACATGGTAAAGACAGAGTTAGACTAACTCATTAAGAACATGCACTTAAGCTGAACAGCACAGCATTTGATGCCTCCACTTTCTCCCATCACAGAGAGGAGTGAAGAGAAGTCACCGTTTACAATGAGGTTTTAGTTGTACTCCAAGCTGACCCTACGTTGTCTCCTAAATTCATATAACTAGGTATCTATTAGTCCTTTGCTTTGGAAAATAGGTTTCAATCAGTCATTCCATTGCACCTCCATTCCTTTCAAGTTACATTATACCAGGCCTTGGTAAAATATGGTCACATAGACATAAATTTTATTTCCCAAATGCACGGGAGGTATGCAAACACACCATGTCAGTTAGTCGTATGTGGTTGAATGGCGCCATCTACGCTTCAAACATTCAAAATGGGTAAACGTTTCAGTTTGATTTCCCATATCTTGCTGGTGACTGTGTAATTGGACGGGTTTTCATCACCAGATCGATACTGCAGGGTCCAACGCACACCAGCTCCAAGAAAAGCACACGTATAGATCAAGAACTGATTATTTACCTTTTTAACAAAGTCCACCTCACAGAACTCCTGAAGAATTCCCAAACACACATTGCAAACCTTCACAGCTGAGCTCTCCAAAGCAGTATTTTCTTCATAAACCAAAGGAATCTGCTTGAGCACTCCATTCCGGTTCAGATCATCAGGGCCCTCTTCAGTGTTTTCCAGTTTGATTCTCTTATAGGGTGGATCAGCTACTTCAGAACAAACTGCATCCTGCTTTTCTGGATTATTTTTCAGAAACTCTTTCAACTCCTTCATCAAATCCTAACATAAAAGATGAATATTACTGCTGTTGATTTTTCTTCTTTTCTTCAATGCTGTAACAAGCGCTTATAAATACATTCTAAAAGGTAACATTAACCATTCCAGTTTAGCTTTAGTGTAATTAAAAACTTGTAATTTATACCAAAAGACATCTACACAATTAAAAAAGCTCCAAGTTGTATTTCTGCCAAAGCACTACCCAGAGAAACCGATTTTTGCTGAACAGGCTCCTTCATATCATCCAACAAGACTGGAAACATTTTACATTCCTCACTTGCAGAAAAGCATTTATCTTTGGCTCCATCACTAATCAACGAAAACAGTGAAAACAATGAAAAATTCCTCCAGCTCAATTAGCCCAGATGACTCGGAGGAGAGTTGACTAGTATAACATGAGACGGAAATGAGAGCGGAGATACAGTGAGGGTGAAATTAAATACATCTGGGTGTACATTAAATACATAGAAAAGGAAGAATTTCATATAACAAGAGAGAATCAGCCTACAAAAAAAATTAAAGGGTGCGCTGGTGAGGACAGGGAAGAACTACCTGCATGTCTCTGAATTTTAGGAAATATGATAGAGGCAAAACGTAGCTCAGAAAGAAGGATTTATTTGAAGGCCTTCAGTAACAAACACAGCAGTTACTGTGTCGGTGCAACTCGGAGGGAAACTGGGTAAAGACACAAAACAATAAAAAATGGCATACGGAATGAACGCTTCTCAAATGATTGACAGAAAATGGAAAAGGATAAAGAAGAAAGTTATGAAAGATGAATTCTGGAGAGTCTGAACTTGAATAACAGCAGAAATGATCAAAACAGACACCTTCAGACGCAAGCATAACGACAAGGGAGAGGCATTAGACCATGTAAATGGAGATGTTTATTGGTACTGAACAACGAGAGAGGTTTCAGAGAAACAACATGGAGGAGGAATAAATAGCCAAAAACAAGAGGAGGGACATCGAATACAAGAACAAGGGCAAGAACGATGGTGCATAGTGAGGAAAAATCTGGAGAATACGGAATTCCAGCAGTAAGGTTACTTAAAAAGGATGACTAATAACACTCTGATTGACCGATTAAAAAAGGAAAACTTGTCCTTAACCTGTGCCCTGCGATTCTGAAGTTACAGCACCCTTATCGGTTCTACTGAAAGAAGTAGGCAATATTAGGGTAGAAGTTTGGTGCACAGATGATTCCTCCTCTGCTTCAGCTGCACTGACCCACAGCTCCTTAACTACTTATTATACCAAAGGGAAAAGAACACAGAGAACAGTCATAGCTGCTCTGGTTCCAAAGTGATAGAGCCATACTGTGCAGAAGCTAGTATGCCCTGTTTTCTGGTGTCTTCCGGAAAAACTTAGCAACTTTCACAGTCAAACTTAACATTTAACCCACAACAACTGTTATAGTCTACCATTCCTGTAATTACTCAATAAAATTGCACTGTATAAGCAGCAGTCATTTTTCATGACTCATTTTGCAAAGCATTATCCTCTCAGGCAAAGAGCCAAATAATACAAAGTCCTTCTCAGCCAAGGTAGCGCAAAGAACAATGCATTCATAAGTTCACATATTCTAATTAGGAATACAAAGAAGAAACCTCGTATGGACGCTTATAAGGTGTCTGTGATCCCACGCAGCAGAACCTGAAAACACATCGTGGGCAAGTACCAGTGTTCAATAACAGCTGAACGATAGGTCTGTCCTTTTCTGTTAGTGAAGAAGACATGCTGGATAATTCTTAAAAAAAAAAAAAAAAAAAAGTTTAGTATAAGCATAATTCAGCCAAAAAAATAAAAGAAAGAAATGGGCTCACTTAACTGAGCAGTACTTTGACCCAATGGATTTTTTTTTTCTTTTGGTCCTCTAGGGAAAGTTTAGGATACATATTTGTCTTAGACCAAAGGCACAACTGATTGGGAGCACCAACCCAAAAAGATCATTAACTCAGGGAAAAGTTTGTGTAATTCCTAAATAAAACAAGAGTTCTGATGAAGGTATGCTGAGTGTCTGCCCAGAGCTTTATCTTCAATAAAATGCATGACATGACATGATATGCTTTACTAAACAGGGCAGGAGGAAGAAGTAAAGGCATATTGTTTAAGCCATGTGTAAAATGGAAATTCCTTCTAAAATCACAGCAAGAAAAGAATTAATGTGTTAAAAATCACAGAAGAAAATAGATGCCCTCCCTTTCTGTCATACAAAGCCTAAAAGACAAAGGCAGCCTTTTCTATCCATTAGCGCCTTCAAATTTTCAAGATTTCTTATTCCCCATCTCAAATATTTTTAAATAATGAGGTCGCGCATCAACTGGACTACTGTTTTTGAGGCAGGCATCTGTTTTTCTTTATAAGATTATGGCTACTTTCATTTTCTGTCACCTTCTCTCCTCAGTACTTTAGAACAGACTACTTTATTTGACTGAAACTTGATGGTGGGCTCTCTACAAAGACAAGTTCCTACTTTTAAAAAAAAAATGAAAAAGAGACTTTATTAATACTCTCAGTGACATACTCACCCTTATTGGTTATCTATGAAACATGAGCGGGCATATAGGAATCACCAGAGCTGTTCAGAGTACGGGTTTGATTAGTCTACTGCCTCCAACAATGGGCATAAAGAAATGCCACAAGGTTAAAAGTAGAGCAAGTATGTGCTGCACCGCTGCCAAGAGCTTTCTGTTTCCAATTATTTCTGGTCTGGGGGATCTCCTTAACCCGGTGTGGTTTGCCTGTAAGTAACCCTTAACTGATCTTTCTTCCAGTGCTTGCCCAGTCTGCTTGAAATTTTTGGCCTCTGTAACATTCCTTTGACAGGGAATTCCACAAGTTTATTACCTACTGACGGAAGAACCATCTAATGTTGTTTCAGGTTTAGCTCCTCTGAGCAACGTTTGATATCACTTAGTTCTTTTCTATCACAAGACGGCGAAGAGGCAATATATACATGTCGTCTCCATGCCAATCACAATCTGGTAGACCTCTAACGTCCTATAGTACTCAGGAGTTCCTTGTACAGTCATTATAAACGTCTCAGTCCTTCTCAAAACCTCCACAGCACAGGAAAACCTAACTTAATTCAGTTTCTCCTGGATGTGGATTCTTCAAGATAAGCTGTAAAAATCAAGGACTACTAGAAATCTTCACATTGATCCCACTTTTTTTTTTTTTAACATTTAGATGTTTATTAACTTAATTGCACTTCATGAGACTTGAACCACACTGTCATGATATTTCAGGCTACAATCATGTAAGCCAACACAAGGGAAAAAAAACCCCAAAAACAAAAACCAGACAGAGAAGTTCATTAAGAAATCTTTCATTTCCAAGAACACGTTACAGATTTAATCGACATGAATGCTGGGCTGAGTGTCGCAAATCACACCGTTCGCCACAAACGTCAAGGCCGTGTCAGGACGGGCTCAAGGCCGTGCCGGGAACACCCGCGCGGACTTCGCGCGAAGCCTTTTCCTCAGCGCCTAGCCCCCAACACCCCGGCTTTTCCCGCGTCCTCTGCAACCGCCGAAACCCCGGCGAAGGACCTCGAAGCCAAAGCCA